CTCTCTCTCTCTCTCTCTCTCTCTCTCTCTCTCTCTCTCTCTTTCTCTTGTGCTGTTGTGCTCCGAGCCCCTAGCTTTCTGTAGCTACATCAGCTTTTAACACGTCTGTTTGCATTGTTTTCAGATGAAAGATCAATTTAAATATCATCCTATTTAATTTAGAATGTACTTTTACATTTACATCACAACGTCACTTGGAACATCTAATCCAACTTCCTTCCTTTACAGGTAAAATATTTGGTATCATAATAATTAAATAATTAGCTCAGATTAATTAATACAGCTGGTAAGGACAGAAAACCTAATTCTGCTGATTTCCAACGTTATTCCCACCTCCCAGGTCTCTGCCTGGTTGAGTTCTTATTAGCAAGATTTCCTTGTGTTTTAACTTAGTAATTGGCGAACATTAGGGGTACACTGTACACAAAAAAGACAATTAAATTTCTTGACATTCCTGGACATCCTAAGGTCTAGCATTTGAATAATAACCATGTAGTCTTCATTTTGGTGATCATTTCACACCAATTCATTGTACTACTTAAATGTCTTAGCCCTCAATGTCCTCTTGCGATAGCCACCAGGAGAAACCGTTTTCGGCTCTAGCAATATTGACGCGAGGGTAATTTTCTTACTCCCTTCACCTCTTCTAATAGGAGCATATCCAGATTATTCCTGAAAAATTCCACTTCTCTCTCCAAGAGAAATATATTGACGGTGGGGTATTATGGAAGATGTGTCCAGCGTCTGGCTACCCAGCAACAGATGAGCTTGGGGCCAACACTGCACATCTCCTTAGCTGCCCCAAGCTCTGAAAAACTTACTTTGACGTCCTTACTCCATGCCTACTTGCAAATGAAGCACTGGCTGAACCATGAAGGACGGGTAGAGTAGTAGGTGGAAATGTGGGGGAAAAAGAATTATGGTAAAGAAAGAGCATGGGCTTAAAAATACAGAGAAAGGAGAAGTGTGCACACACAAGGGGCAGCTAACAGGCAAGGGTGGGCAAGTTTCAGATTGACAAGGGTTTAATGATCAAGTGGCAAATTAGTGCAAAATAAAATAGGAGGGTAGGTTTAGCAAGGCCTCAAGCTCCTAGTTTAGAAAAATATTTTCAGTCCCCAGACACTAAAACGGCATTTGCTATGGTGCCTTGTACACAGTACATATTTGTAACCTCAACTGAACCCCATACTTTTAGCTTTGGGAAGGGTGGAATGAATGAATGAATATTTCAATATTAAATATTCCAAGTTGGAAATATTCCAAATTTGCTTGGTTTTTATTTCCCCCTGACTTACTGCTGATAGAAGTCTTATCTCACAAAAGCAAACTCTTACAAGGATACACCCTGCATACAAAATGCCTTAAATAGTTTCCAAGTCAGAAATATTCCAAATTTGCTTGGTTGTATCATCTCACAATTTATACTTACATAACATCTGAATTGTTGCAGAGCATTCACCCCTTTTTTCTCTTACCCTTACTGCCCTGACCCCGCAGTTGCTCAGGAAAGCTGCCAGCCTGAGCAGTCTGTGTGTTGGGGAAGGGAGCATAAGGGGTCCCCTTCCACCGTTCCCCTTATACCAAGGAGGAGGGGTGACCTGTGAGCCCAGAACACAGCAGGGGTACGATTAGGAATAGAGGTCCAACCTCCTAACCTCCTGAAACCACATGGCTTTCCCCAACAGTTGACATTTCTAACATGGAATGTTATTAGAAAGAATAACAGTAAAATGCAATAGTGGATAAATACTCTGTCTTTTTGCTTTATGCCAAAACTTCCCTTAGCTGAACTCCTGTCATGAAATGATAAAGTCAGCTCAGGCAGCTGCTGGCTTGGTTTCAGTTCCCTCCTGTCTTGCAGCTGACAGAAGTCTTATCTTGCAAAAACAAACTCTTACAAGGGCACGTATGCCCTGTGTACAAAATGCCTCAAATAGTTTCCAAGTCAGAAAACCAAATTTTCTGAGTGTTACAGTTTGGGGGCATTGCGATGACCATAAAAACTGATGGATCAACTTATTTTTGGAAATTCTGCCCAGCTAATTTATGGTAAACTGGGACGAAAACTCCCATCCACTGATTTCCGATCAATGACTTTTCTACTGTACCTTCCTGTTTAATATGGAATGAACGTATAAATGGGGATCTTGCCTGTTCCAAATGGTGTTTGGAGAAGGCTGTTGCCATGATGCAATATTTTAAGGGAAATATTCAGTTTTGTTCTTGAACCAAAGGCTTGACAAACTCAATCTGAATCAAGTTGTAATAATATAATCAGATGTCCATCTGTCTGTTGTCATTCATTTTTCACTTTTAGAAGGGTTTTAGTAAGCCAAAGAAGCCAATTAAAATTTAGAACAATTGAACTTTCTAAAGGGTTAAGTGCCTGGTGTGGTAACATTTGAGCTAGTGTTTTGAATATTTTGTTTGAATTCTCCAGTCAATAGTTCTTAACACAAAGGCACAGCCAGTTAATGCGTACAGTTAATGGGCCATGAGTCCAATGCGATGTTCTTACGTCAACTTTGTCTAGAACTAGAACAGTTTCAGAAAACAATGCGATATGAGCCTGATTTGCTTGCAAAATAATAACATTCACAATTTGCCATATTCAATGTTGGTATTTCTTTTGGTTTTTGACTTAGAAAACCTCCTCTCCCCCATACTGGATTTCACTCTATGCACTTGCCAAGGGGCAGCTCCCCAGCATGTGAAACACAGTGGAACAGCTCTGGTGGAAACCAGGGTTACAGTCCTGGAGTCTCGAACCCTGAATCCACAGCCACTTGGGAGCAGCTTTAAGGAACCCCACAGGCACTGAGCTAGGAAACCCTCAGTCTACAAATGAGTTTTCATATTGCAGGATGGGATCCCTGGGTGCAAGAGTTGATAAGCTTTTCCTATAAAGGGATAAAGAATATATATATTTTTGACTTTGTGGGCCACATGGTTGCTTTCTGTTACAATTCTTTAACTCTGTTGTTACAGTGCAAAAGCAGCCATAAACGATAGGTAAACCAAAGCATAAATGAATGAGTGTGGCTCATTCATTACGAATGTCCATAATTATTCATGGACATTAAAATTTTAATCTCATATAATATTCACAGGTCACAAAATATTATTCTTCTTTTGATTTTTTTTTAAAGATTTTTATTGGGGAATTGGGGGTATGGGGACAGTGCTAGGGAATTGGGGGAAGGGGAACAGACAAGTTGCTGTCGTTTTGTTCTTCAGTCTAGTTGTGGAGGACGTTGCTTCACTGGCCCAAGTTGGCACCATCATTGCGCTCTTTCCGGGCGAGGCACATCAGTCGCCAGCTTCTGGACAGCTGCTCGCTGCGGCTGCTGGCCACACACGGTAGCCCATGGCAACCCACTGCAGCAGGGGCTGAGCCGGCGACTCACGGCAGCCCAGCTCCAGGTTGAGCTGTTGTTCAGCATCTTAGCTGTGGAGGGCAGTGTCACTGGCCCTCATATGTGGGATCCGAACCAGGGCCCTCTGGCGTCCCAAGCCAGTTCTTAACCATCGTGCCACTCGGCCGGCCCTTGATTTTTTTTAAGCACTTAAAAATGTAAAAACATTCTCAACTTGCAGGCTGTACAGAACCAGGTGGCCTGGATTTGGCCCACAGGCTATATATAGGTTCCTGGCCCCTGTATTAGTATAATTAGAAATCTCTCAATGTGGAACTCAATCATCTGTACCTTATGGAGCCCCTCAGGTGACTCCAACCTGCAGTCAAGATAGTGAATTCCTGGGCCGGCTGAATGGCGGGTTGGTTAAGAGCTGGCTTGGGACGTCAGCTCTGAGCAGCAGGGCCCTGGTTTGGATCTCACATGAAGGCCACTGATGCTGAGCCCTCTACACAGCTAAGATGGTGAACAACAGCTCAACCTGGAGCTGGGCTGCTGTGAGTCGCAGGCAATGTCGTAGGCTGCAGCCCCTGCTGCAGTAGGCTGCCATAAGCTACCGTGTGTGGCCGGCAGCCAGCGAGAGCGGTTGGCGGCCAGGGTGAGCTGCTGTGAGCCACCATGAGTGGCCGTCCAGAGGCCGGCGACCGATCTGCCTC